CATGATGTCCAAAACAGCTTCTCCCGAACAACATGCTTCGAAGAATGCATCTAGAATTGGGGCTTCATTCCACAGTTGAATCAGATGCCACACTCCAGCAAGCAATGAAAGCAGATTGAGACAAATCTGGGAGTACGAGAAGGTAAAAATGCTTTTCTATGAATAAGACTTGGGGAAGATGACGACAGAATAAATTGCCATCTTCATCAAAAACACCGACTTGTTCGCAACCTTCATGTAGAATGCGGGGCAGATAGAAACCCTCTTGGAAATGTAAGCCTAATATTATCGTAAAACGTGGCACTATGGTATAATATACAAACAGCTATTGCTCTCCGCATAATCCCTACTTTCGGTGGATTTCAACGGCTGTCTGCAATTGACTGACAAACAGGCAGAAAGACAGACAAACAGATCCTCCTCGAAGTTGCAGGCACGACGATGACTAGAATCAGGTTCTGGTTGAATCAGACTAGCGCATTGCTTGATCTGTTCGGATAGTTCGGACGTTGGTGATAGAGCCTCAGTTGCTGCAACAATAGTGGAACGGACTCAAAAACCACACGAGACGACGTGAGTGGCATTGGTTTTGGAGCACTCCGAAGCACGGGGGAAGCAAGCCTTGATGTACTCGCAGTCACACCCCAGGTGGGTTCCGATCTCGCATCGAACCTGCTCACCAGGGAGGCATTCTTTGCCGGGTGCTTGGCACACTGCAAGCAAGCAACATGGTCAGAGATGCAGATGGTCAGATCCTCCGGGAATGGCATCACAGGACCCTCGAACAATCATGGTTCATCTCTGTTGCTCTTAGAATTCCTTGAGATTAGCCATTCGTTGAATACACTACCCCTGTCCTAGAGAGTTCTGGAGATGAGATCTGGTTGCAACGTCCCTGTGATACTGTGAAGATGGTGTGGACTTACACAGTTGTATATCAGTTCGGTGTACGCTGGGAGGTGCGAGTAGACGGCGACTAGCTAGGTTGTTCAGTTCCAACATCGAAGTTAACTGCATAGCCACTCAGACCTCATCTTGTTAGACCTTCAGCCAAAATTTTCCAATCACAGTATGACATTCTCACAGCCTCCATAGCGTTCATATCTACTGTCGAGTGCTTCAAATTCAAGGAATTATTGTGGATCGAGCATGACGCTGCTTGCCTGTGCAGCTTCAGCCTGGATTCTCGCCAAGTCTTGCATTGTCAGGTACTTCCGAACGCCCTCTACAGATTCCAAAATGTCTACTCATCAAATCCTCTCACCTCAACCATTTTTCAGATCCTAAATGTCGATACTTTCTTCTACTTCCTTGGATGCAAGCCGTGCCTCAAAGGCCAAATACCCTAAACTCTGTCGTGCTTCAGAAGCTCGAGACACACACAAAAGTACTAAGTAGCATTCACCGGAAGTTCGAAGAGGAATAGACGTGACAGTTTTGAGATATTAATTACCTGAGGCTACTAGCAATAACAAAAGAACGCCCATAACGTCAATGTACTTCGAGGCCATTGCCGCTCAGCTTTTGGATTTATGACGGCACAATTGAAGTATCTGCGGCACAGAATCAAAACTCTCAACCTTCAGACTCGAACACCGCAAAACTCCGCAAAATAGGAGTACCAGAAACTGACTTTCAAGCTACGAGTACGAATTGCAAGCTAGTGCCCCTAACCAGTAGCCACTTGCAAATGAGTCAACTTCCGCGGGCGGCGACGACAATTTCAAACTGCAGTGTCGTAGACGAGTGCGATCGCGATCTCCTAACGAGCCCCAGCTTAGCGAGACTATCAAGGCACGCTCTACCGCAATCAAAGCTAGCACTACTGTAGTCTCTGAACCTGTTCAATACGCGCTGAATGCTTCTTTTTCTTGAGAAGCAGATTTTCCAATCATGCAACGAAAAATTATGAGAGTGCCCTGGCAGCACAGTTCCAAGCTGGGAGTGGGTCCGATGCAATCAATCATCCACCATTGGCAAGGGAACCTCAACGAAATGGAATCTGGTGTGTTGGCGAGAATTATTTTCAGCAAGTCCGAAGCGTCTCGAAAGGGAAGCTTTTCCGCTCACGGCAATCAGAGGATCGAGCGATAGCAACGGCTATGTCAAGAGGGCTGTAGCAGTAGCATCCACATGCTCACCCAGACCTTGTCAGAGCCCTTGGGGATGACTCTGTGGAAGATATATTGGTCGGTCGGTTAACATTCATGGAGCTGGGGAATGAAACATAGAGTCAATAATGAAAAAAAACTATAATATTTCTTTTATCCGCACCACCATTTCTATAACAAGAGCTCAATGTGTGCCTTTATACTTATTTGAGCAGACAGCTCATATTTTAAGAAAACGCCTTTACATGAAAAGCTGAAGTTGAGAGAAAAGCATATCTTTGAAACAGTGACTTCTTGTGTATCTCTTCGTTTGGATGTCTAATGAATGTAAAGAATCTGTGGGTGACTCTCTTGATGCCCTCCAGGCATAACTTTTATAAGTGAGGACAGACTGGGATGTTGGTGAGCAATCATTCATGCATGGTTCTCGAGGTGGAATGATTCTACTTCGGAAAGTTGTATTATTACTGGCTCGATAATTGTGGGGATGTTGTGAATGAGTTTGACATGAATCATGGTCGCTCGTTTCGTCTTTCTTCTGTGTAAGCAAATCGATCCCGCCCGTTCCGAAGAACTTGATTTCGCGGGGAACAGAAACTGCAGGTAGACACTTCCGCGTCTACAAAATCCTGGACATTCGCTGACTACAACCCCGACATTTACACTCTCAGATCCTCCTCCTCACACTGCAGGGCCAGTTTCCACTTCTTCAAGCTCTCGGTGCCACTGCCAGATTGTATTTTTATTAGATCACAGTGGAAACTGTGTCTCGTCCGTGAGTAACGCAGATACCGAACTTCGACTACCGCTGGTCATCCATGGATCCGTTTTTTTCTAGAAATTCGAGATAAATGTAGTGGGAGGCAGTTTACATAAACTGACATATGTCGCTCCGTTCGTGCGCTCGTTGCTGACAGCGAAAGGCCATGGCGAATCGACGGGAGGATGGGGACCATGGCAGTGGAAACTTTCAGGCACACAAAAGCTTGCGGTGGTGATCCTGTAACATGCCAGTTCATTTCAGTTGCACCGTAGTGTGTTCTTTCGTCCAGGTTTCCATGAGAACTCAGTCCAGTGCACGAAGGAAACCGCGAGAGAGAGACTTCGACTTCGGTAGCGCGTGAGGACCTCGTGGATAGCGTGCTTGAAAATAAAACAAGCGATACCCATGGACGCAGTTTCTCAGTCTGCACCTGATGATCGTAACACAGCAAATCTCACTCTCAATCTCACCCTAGATCTGTCACTCTCCCACATGAGATCTGGTCGTTGCAAACCAAAAGCGGCTCAACTGATTGAGAATCTGTGAGTCGATGCCGCGGTTCCAAATGTGGGTTGGGTTGATTCAATGGGGCAATTATTGCTGGATGCGTGCCGGACAACGTCGCGCTCTTGTCGCTTTTCTATAGACGCCATTAACTTTCTTGCCTTTGTTGACATCCAATTGTTGCTTTTTGTATCATTGGGTCGTCGTAGTCTTGTGCATGCAATCAATATCTGCTCTGATAATAAACAACTAAACAGCTTCAGGCCTAAAAAACCAACACAGACTTGTCATACTTTTTCTGCCTTTCTTTCTTACTATTTCTATGTTACATTTGTGATGAAATATGCATTGTGGGTTGCGTTTTCCATTAATACAAACAAGTATTGAGGTGCTGCTCCTACGATGTTCAAATGAGTTTTTTTTTTTTTTTTTTTTTTTTTTTTTTTTTAAATTGGTTTATTCAGCTTCTTTCTCTTTTCTTCTTTTCTCTGTTTTGATTATTTCAGTATGAACGGGTTTAATAGTATTTTAATGTAGGGCATTGAGTTCAAGCAACACTTTCTTGTACTTGATTTGACTTCGGTCTGCATAATTATATTAAATGATGCTACTTAAATTATATAAATGTATTTTCAATAAATTGGCATGAAAGACAAATGGTACTACTGAAGAAGAATAAATGGTCTTCTATTTTGCCTTTCATGGCTAATAATGGATGTGATTGTAATAGTATAGAATATTGTGGTTACCATTGTGGCTTTACTCCCAATGACCTCTACACATACTTCTGAGCTCTCGGATAATGTTTATTATAGAAATTTTCTTCTTATTATTATTATTATTATTATTATTCTTATTAGCATTGTAAAATAGTGTTCAGAAAATACGTTTTTGCATCACCGTTATCATGTGAAGGATGCCAACAAATTGATGAGGGGAAGTCTTCATGTTATGGTGGATAGTAAATGGTAGAATTATTGACAAAGAAGATATTGTATGGATACCTTGGTAACAAACATGTTTATCAAGTTCTATTTAATATTTTATGCAAATGAATAGGGTAAGTTTAAACTATTAGTATATTAAATTTTATGTGAATATATATATATATATATATATATATATTTATTTATTTATTTATTTAAAGTTAAACTTTGATCTTTCAATCTTTTAATTTTTTTTTATTCATCCAATTATTCTATGATCTATTTGTATTTTTATTTTTAAATTCAAATCTGGCATAAATTTGAAACTAAAATTCTTTTACCATACAATAAACTTTACTATGTATGTATGTTTGTATGTATGTTTGTATATTTTATTTTATTTTATTTTTTTGAATTACATTAGTATAACTAAATGTTTTAAATCATAACTTCTATAGGATTCTACTACCTCATTGCAAATCTTTCCAATTTAACAATTTCAAAAAATATGATTTAAGTAATAATTAAAAAAATGAAAAATTTAATAAAATAAAAAAAATCAAATGAATGTAACATAAAAAGTATTTAGATATACATATGATTTCAAATTTTTGTAGATGGAAAATATCACTTGTAAAGAAATAAATATATATATATTTATATATATATATATCAAAATACTTGTCTTGAAGTTCAACAAACAGTCAAAGAAGAAAATTACCTTTGTAATAGTTATCAAAATTTACTTATTTTAATCTCTAAAATAACATTAAAATCCATGTAAAAATTCCAAAGTATCATATTCATGCATAAACTATTTCTTTACAAAAAACAAGTGTTTTTGATGAAGATTTGTTAATTTTTACACATATACATTTACATAATTTATTCTATTTAATTTCTTATTAAATAAGTGCATAATTTCTGATCATATTAATTATTTTATTTTATTTCATTTTTTTGAATCTCAAGTTGTGTCTTATTCCAATTAAAGAAGTTAAAAGTAATAGATGTTGTGTTGCTTCTGTTAACAATTGGCTATGCTTGATTCATAGTTGGGCAAAGGCAAAAACCGCTTTACAACTTACAAGATTGTTCAATGAGTTATTGCATTCCGCACATTTTATCATAATTTCGAATAATGATCATCAAGTCATTAATTGTGCCATCATTTGAAAACACTAAAAACAAAAACTACAAAAGATTTTCAACACTACAAAAGATTTTTTCTCATAACTTTTTTGAATCATAAAATCATGGATCTTCAACGCGTCATTTGTACTTATTCAATCAAAAAAAGTCCACAGCACATTTTTCCATGTCAAAATACAACACATTCACTCTAAAATTTAATGTTTACACACAAACGCATACACACACACACACAGAAATTCATTCAAAAAGTGGGATATAACACGAATCAGATCTTACCAAATTGAAGCTCCTGTGCAATGAAACCGTGTAACTATGCTGATTTATGTCAATGCTTTGAATATATGAATACATTTTCCACAACATTTGCATCAAGTGCATAAATACACATACCTCATAAATTCTAGTTGGGTTTGTTTCAGTATGTCAGCAGTATCCATAAACCCTAATTCATAAGCCCTTAAACCTTGACCTCACATTCAGTTCATCACTGAGAATCGAGATCGCGCAATTAAGCACCATTTGTTTGTGGAATTTTGTCATGGAATTTTGACGTTGGTTGATCACGTCGCACATACTATGTCAGTAGGACTTCTTTTGCTTGGATTACGAGTTTGCTCATTACATTGTATTCCATTCTGATATCAGTAGTATGGACTGAAGGTGCACGTAATTCTGTGTCTTTGTACACATTTTGAGGAAGAAAAAACGTTCCTGCTGCATCAGATTAATGCCGAAGGTTTCCATATTCACAATGACATTCCGTTTTCTCCAAAGCGAGACTCTTCGTTGAACTTCAGGTTTTGGTTTCGAGTGAGACACGAGGCTATTCATTTGAATTCTCTTCTGTGTTGCTGGATAGCCTGACGGGTTTTGGTCTCTATGTCAATGACCATCAACGAGAGGTATTCGGGATGATGGTGTGAGACGTTACACGGAGAATGGGTATTTTCTTAATCGTTTAATGCTCAAGTTTCGCATACATCGTTTGTTTGCTACACCATACTTCATTATCCAGCAAACATCTGTGAGCGAAAGGATGTTTGCTGATTGTTATGACGCTTCTTTCTCTATAAAACTACGTCTACACGACTCTTTTTCATGCATGTCCTGTATCTGCGGCTTCAGCTTCGAAAGCTCACAAAATTTCTGAGTTATCAGGGAAGTGAAGGAGGCCAGCTTCCCACTGAATGAGTGTTGATTTACACGTGAAGTCAGAAGTTGATTAGTGGGTTCCATGAATAGGACGTTATGCAGCAGTTGCCTCCTAACTGCCGCGCCTGCCCGGTAGTTAATGGCATGCTTTATTCGACGGTTAAGATTATTTCGATTCCGAATTTCTCATGTGTGGGGCTTCAGCTGAAAGTATCAATAAGCTGTACCTGCTCCATGGCAATTTTTGTGTGCAATTCTCGTTGCTCACTAATTCGCCCAATTCATTTGAGTTTCGGGACTTTGGAGGATAAGTTCAGGTGAGGCAAAAGTCTCTGCTATTTTCCCATCTTCGTAATCATCAGGTGCTTCATCTAGCATTGAGCCTCTCGCTCAATCTTGCAAACAATTTATCCATCGTAGTTCTGTACAACAATTTTTGTGCTAAGTGTCTGGACTTGTTACTAAAGAATTTCAGCAAGCGGAAAGAAATGAGAGAGTGTGTGTCTATCCATATTGGTCAGGCAGGAATCCAGGTTGGCAATGCTTGTTGGGAGCTTTTCTGCTTAGAGCATGGCATTCAGGTATGTAATCTTCGCAAAAATGTGCTGCATTCATTCAGACGCATGTGACGAATTGTCAGAATTTTTCAAACGATTGGGTTTCTCATTGTTCGATAATTTCAACTTACTACCAGTATCTAAGTGCAATTCCAACAGTCCTTGTTAGGTCTGAATGCCAATCGTGTGCTAATGTGCAGCCGGATGGTCAACTGCCAATGGAAAAGACGTGCAACGGAGGAGATGACGCCTTCATGACCTTCTTCAGCGAGACCGGTGCTGGGAAGCATGTACCGCGTTGCATATTCTTGGACTTGGAACCTACGGTGATAGACGAAGTGAGAACTGGCACATATCGTCAGCTTTTTCACCCCGAGCAGCTCATCAGCGGCAAAGAAGATGCTGCCAACAATTTCGCTCGTGGGCACTACACCAGTAAATAAAACTTCAACTTCTTAAAGTTAATAAATTGCAAGTGTCTCGGAGTTGATAATGCATTCGGTGTTCGAAACAAATTTTACTATGCTTGGAGAAAATCTCGAAATGCTTGTGTACATATATGCTCTCTGAGGTTAACAGTAAATGTTTATTCGAATAATTGCGCAAAATCTTCTATGAATCTTTTGTAAATAATCTCCTTTATTAAAAATAGAGTCTGATCCCATAACCTCAAACTATGTGAATATATCGATTTGCAGTTGGGAAGGAGAGCGTTGATCTTTGCTTGGATAGAATCCGCAAGCTTGCGGACGGCTGCACTGGTCTTCAGGGATTTCTGGTGTTCCATTCGGTGGGAGGTGGTACTGGATCAGGCCTGGGTTCTCTGCTTCTGGAAAGATTATCTGTGGATTATGGTAAGAAGTCGAAGATATCCATGTGCGTCTTTCCAAGCCCACAAGTGTCCGGAGCTGTGGTGGAGCCTTACAATGGCGTTTTGTCTACTCATTCTCTTCTGGAGCACACAGATGTTGCGATCATGCTTGACAATGAGGCAATATATGACATATGCCGCAGAAACCTAGACATGGAGCGACCAACCTACACCAATTTGAACCGGCTTGTTTGCCAGGTTATTATACAACTCGACCAGTTTTTGTATCTGACAGATAGTAAAACCTTGCTTTCGATATAATTCTTGAAGTTCATATTGTGAAACAACCAAGATTCTTATTTACAAGTTTTTACGAAGTAATTCAAAGCTATATCTTGTTTTGCCATGATTTCTGTCTATCGATAACTTCCAGAAGACGCTTGTTGTAGATTCTCACGATCACCAGGAAGTGGTTCAAAGGTTGAAACATTATTTGCATCTCAGAGAACATTTTGCCAAGCGGCTCCGTCTTACTTTCACACATACTTGATGCATTTCTTGCAGGTCGTATCATCGCTGACAGCATCCTTGCGCTTCGATGGAGCCCTGAACGTGGACCTTGCAGAGTTTCAGACCAACCTGGTGCCTTACCCCCGAATACACTTCATGCTTTCATCCTATGCGCCGGTGATTTCCGCTGAGAAGGCTTACCATGAGCAATTGTCAGTTTATGCGCTCACCAACAGCGTGTTTGAGCCCTCCAACATGATGGCCAAGTGCGATCCCCGGCATGGTAAGTACATGGCTTGCTGCCTGATGTATCGCGGCGACGTGGTACCCAAGGATGTGAATGCTGCGATCGGCACCATCAAGACCAAGCGCACCATCCAGTTTGTGGACTGGTGCCCCACAGGATTCAAGTGCGGGATCAACTACCAGCCTCCTACAGTGGTGCCCGGAGGAGATCTTGCCCGTGTACAGCGCGCTGTGTGCATGCTGTCCAACACCACTAGTGTGGCGGAGGTATTCTCTCGGTTAGACCACAAGTTTGATCTCATGTATTCCAAGCGTGCATTTGTGCACTGGTACGTTGGTGAAGGAATGGAAGAGGGCGAGTTCTCTGAGGCACGCGAGGATCTTGCTGCTCTTGAGAAGGATTACGAGGAGGTTGGAGCCGAGTCAGATGAGACAGGCTATGAAGACGAAGGAGAAGAATATTAAAGAATTCTACGACGAGCTCAACGCTTGCCATATGTGGGTCTCAGTTTTCTGACCAGATTCTAATTCTCCATCCAGCTTTTATTTTCGCACCCTCTGTCTCTAAACAACTATATGAGCTTTGCCCTGCAGTTGCTTTGTTTTCAGGTCTGAAGTTTTTGGCTCTTTCTGAAGTTGGATAACTGGTTCAACTTAACTTGAATCCTCTCCCAACGTTTGCACTGATTTTTTCGTCAGTCACAAGTCTGAAGAGAGTGAAATATGCTCAAATTGTCAACCTCCTAGTGGCGTTGGGTCAGAACAGCAGCAAGTTAACATTAGGTGTGTGATTTTTACTGAACTGATCTCTTTTATGGTTGTTAGTAGGTGACCACTTAATCAATATGTTTACATTGACATACTCTCTGGGTCATCTTGTTCATCCTCACGCTGCTCATCAGAGTGCCAGCTACAACTGTTTCTTGTGCACATGACGAGAGGCATGTCACTTGGATTGAGCTCTTATAACATCACTCTTTAGCATCAAATTTTGAACTAAAAATCACAACCCCAATCCCTCGCATTAAGTTTGCAAAATCTATCACGCGTGACCCAATTCAGCTCTAAAAACATACCATTACCTGGTTAAACGATGCCTCAAATGTGGTGACATCAGAAAATATCGGTTGGCATAGTTTAGAAAATTATCTAAACAAGTGCTGACAAAGAGAAGATCTTCTTGTTACTATTTTGTTTGAGATTTTTTGCAAAAGAGCTTTTGGAAGTACACATGGTAGATTTTTTTGAATTTCTATAATTTTTGACAATCTAAAAAATCATTAGTCTTTCTGGACAAAAAAATATAACAGTAGTAAAGAGTTTATTGTTTAAAAATATTAAGTCAATTACATATGGCAAAATTTCTAAAAATATAAAATTTTATATTAATAAAAATATATATATATATATATATATATATTTTTATATATTTATATATTTATTTATATATTTATATATATCAAATTTCAATTACATACAAATTATTTGAATTAGGAAGGTAGGCTAAATTTTTATTAAAATAAAATATATGTAATTCTAAAATATATTTTAGAACACAATGGTACATTTCTACAATATTTATGATTTTATTGTAAAACTAGCTGTTACTAATGATATTATGTAATAGATAAGTAGATTTTTTAAAAAACTATTCCATACATCTTTTAAAGTTAATTTTTAATTATGAAAGAAAATATAAAAAGATGTTTAACTCATATAAGGTATTAAAATTTGTTATCTTTACTAAAATATTCAATACTATACTAAAATTTATAATAACTATTATAAAATTTAGATTTAATTGCAGATATATATATATATATATATATATATATATATATATATATATATATATAGATGTTTATTTTTAAACATTAAAAAGTATGGATCTTTTAACATAAATATATTTTATCAATTTTTATAATACTAATGAATATAAATGAATTAAAAGTTGATATTAGTGGTTTTTTAGATTTAGTCTTACAATTTTATATAAAATCATACAACAAAAAATTCTTCAAAAAATATTAAAAAAATAAAATAAAAAAAAACTTAGTCACAAAATTTTAAGTAAAACATTTGCAACAAAAAAATTTGATTGTATGATGTTGCAAAAAAAATGTTAAAAATAAATAAATATTTTGATTAAATATAAATAAGAAAAAAATATGTACTTTTTAAATATAAATATTTTATTAGATTTTTTTTATTTTCTATAATTAACTTAAGTAATTATACTCTCGTTTTATAGTTCCATACAAGTATTAAATAAGTATATTTATTATTAAAAAAATATGTCATTGAAAAATATAGAAATTTGATTTTCAAATATAAAAAATCAATAAAACTTTAATTTTCTATATATATATATATATATATATAGTATAAAAATATAGTATAAAAAAGGTAAAATTAAAAAGAAATAACAAATCATTATTAATTTGTACAATCAACCTGTTTGATGAAATTGTGCCAATATTGATTAATGTGAATTTTATTCTTGATTTAAAAATAACTTCTATATGCACTAAACTTGGTGGATTATAAACAGGCAGAAAATGGAGAATTTTTGTAGTTTCTAAAAGGTTATGAACAAGAGGATCAAAAACCTATATGAGCTTTTTAAAAACATTTTTGTAGGTGGAGTTGCAATTGTATCTAACTAAGAAGAAACTTTAGTAGATATAACTCAATTATTTCATATACGATTGAATTATATGAGTGGCTAAGTACTTACAAAAAAATTGTAGTACCAACTCATAAAAGATTACATACTTGTGAGATAGAATATTTTGAACATTCTATATTTGAAAACCATTACATAATGAGCTTGAATATTTTTTTTTGTTGCAATAAAAGTATGCTAGTTTATAGACATCTAAATATATGGAAGCATTCACCAATTGCTTCTAAACTACAATAGTATGTATACATCTTTTGTAGATGATTCTTTAAAAAAATTGTATATACAATGAAGTAAAAATCAAAATTATTTCTTATTATTAAAGAATAGGAAAAAATATAGAAAATAAAATTATAATAAAGGTTATAGTTTTAATATTTGACAATAGAAGAGAATATAAATTATTTTTATTTTATAAGTTCTAAAAAACTAAAAAAAAAAATTAAAAAAAATAAAAAAAATGCCTATTGTTTGAATTTCTTATGAATTTATCAACAAAAGAAAGTAAATGTAAAGCAATAGAGTTAGAGATTAGTTAAGACTAAGTATTTTTAAATACTAAATACATATTTATGTTTAATAAAAAAGAAGATTAAAATTAAATCCTAATGTTAAGAAATATATTTTTAAAGATTACAAAAAAATCATAAAAAAGATATTAATTATAGAATCTAAAGAAAAATAAGATCTTTGTTAGTAGAAGTATAAAATTTGATATAATCTCCATATTGAAAGCAAATAATATATATATATATATATATATATATTTACACAATTAGATTCTATGATCTTGAAATAAGGATTGATGTTCCCAAATCATTACATAGTATTGATAAAATCTTAGATTCCACTACACCTAAGGCAGTTAATTGTGTAGAAAGACCAATCCTAGAATTGTAGAAGTTTCAAAATAAGAGACAAATTCTTAACAGATTTGGATATGAAGTTATAATAGCATTTGCTTTGATTACAAAAAATGGTGAGATTTTTGCATTTTCAGAAGCTAAAAAGATAAGTATGAATACAAATAGTATGGCAAGATATAACACAAAATACATAAAAAAAAAAGATATGTTCAAATAAAATTGCTATTTGAAAATTTTAAAAATATAAAAAATAAAATAAAAATATTATAATATTAAAATTACTTCTATTTTTATATTATTAATAATAGTTTCAAAAATTAATTTGGAGTTGGTGAAATTAAATGATACTTTATATATATATATGGAGTTATTTTAAACAAATCTATATGAATAAAGATAAAGGATTTAGAATATTTAGAAAAAAAAACCTTAAAGGTAGGTTAAAAAAATCACTATATGGAGTGAAGCAAAATTCTAAGCAATAAAATAATCAATTTGTTGTCTTCAAGACAAATCAAAGATATATTTGCTATAATACTCATTGTTACATGTATTTCAAATAACTACAAAAAGCTAAATTATATTGTTATATTATAATTTTTATTAAATTTTAACAATATATTGGTTGCAACAAGAAAAATATTTATATAAATAATTTTAAGATGTAATTAAGTAAATATTTTGATATAAAATATATAAGACAAAGAAAGTTTTAAGTGTTGATATCTTAATAATAATAACAATAGTAATAATAATCTTATAAAAAAGATAATTCAAAAAGATATTGATGTATTTTATTATAAAGAAAGAAAAATAAATAAGAAATTCTCTAAAAACTTATTTTAGATTATTTTCAATATTACATCTTAGAACTAAAGATAAAATATAAAAAAAATTGCTATTGTATGTGCAAGTATAATAGATAACTTTTTGTATGTAATGGTAAGTATAAGATAAGATATCTTGTATGATGTAAGTAAAAACGATAGATATACAGAAAATTTAAAGAAAATATATCAAAAGGAATAAAATAGATAATTTTCTATCTAAAAGGCATTGTGAATGTTTACATCATGTTTAGTGTAAAACATAAGAAAATTAGCAGTACCATGAAATTTGTTGACATTGAGTTTTTAAAAAACCTGGACAAAAAAATAAAATAAAATAAAATAAAATTACATGTTATGTTTTTGTGATGGTTGATGGATCTATTTAGAAAGGATAGATATAGAAATAAATATATTGACAAAACTAAAGATGGTTCAGAAACACTAGTATTTTTTTAAGCTTTTTGAATATGAAATGTGCTTGATAGAAAAGCATTTGTCAATATATAATATAAAACACATTAATGCTTATTTTTACTTATTACAACAATACTTAGATGAAGATTACGATTTTTATAGAATTATTTTGTATTGTGCTTAAGTTTGTGTATATAAATATGGATGTATGTATGTATGTATGTACAAATATATATATATATATACACATACATATTCTATAGTGGAATTACTTGCCATATAGTTAAATATTCAAATGATGATTCTTAAGAGAGAAGAAAAGTATTTTTACCAATATTTCTATTAAAAAAATGGCTACTAATTGCAAAAATAAAAAAATTATATTATATAATTAAATTTATTTATATAATATAAAATAAAATTATATCAAATATAGTAAAAATTATTATTATTTTAAAATTAAAATAGTTCTTCAAAATAATATATTTAAATTAAGTCAAAAAGATGGTTGGATTAAAAAATAATAATAGTAATTTTAATTCTTTGTTATTTATCAAATACCAATGATTTGTTTTTATCATAACTCAAATATGTTTCTTGTGAAGTTAAAATATATAATTTATAAAAGAATTTTAAAAGTTACTATAATAATATTTTATAATGTTTGCTTAAAAGATGACAAATGAGATATTTGATACTATCTTAAGATCAAATTTTTATTAGAATCATAATTTATACACTAAAAATAAAAATAATCTAATGAAAATAATGTTATTAAGTTGTAGAAATTAATTATATTATGAATGCTTGACTATATAATCATATTGACAATAATAAAAATATATTATTATAGAAAGACATAAGAAACAAGTAAAAGAAGACTTATTGACATTAGTTTTGTTAAATATATTTTTTACACTTAAAATTTCTTTTATTTTATTTTTTGATAGATATAGGTGTGCATATTTACTTTATCTAGTTTTGTGATTAGTTATAGTTTGATGCAAGAGTCAAGCTATACTTTAGATAATTTGACTTAAGAAAGATAATATTAAGATTAAATTATATTTAAATATATTTGAATTACATATTTTATAATCATGATAAAAATAAAATATACATATCTATTCTTAATTACACTATATGATATATATACAATGTATATATGTACAAAATAATTACAAACAATGAACATTATCAATGAACAATTAGGTTTATTTCTAAAATTATAATGTGACTCTTATTGATGTGTTTGACAACCTAGGTCTAATATGCTAATTGTTATTATTAGTTCCAAGTGTATTCTAATTACTAATATTATAGTCTCAATTGTTACTACTCTTGTTTTATTTATTTATTCTTTCATCTATGTAATTTTTTTACCAAGCTACTTGATGACTACACTCTTCTTTTACAAAATTAGTATAATAGATGCTTATATTATTTAAGAAAATTGAAGTAAAGAGTAGATAGAAATATGTTAAATAGAAAATATTTTCATTAGAAAATATTAAAAAATATTCTAGATATAAAATAAATCTATAGAAACTTTTAGACATGCCACATGGCTATAGATACTTTTTAAGGTATTTGTTTTATTTAATAGTAATTTGATATAGAAGTGATCTATAACTTTGACACTTAGACCATAAAGAAGCTTTGATATGGCATTTTTAGTAGCTAGTATGTATGAAGAAATAAGTGAGAAACAAGAACATTTTATTTAAAGAGGTCTGAGTTGGGCCCTGTACAAAATCTATGATTAGTGAAAAAAATAACTAAGCTTTTTCTTAACAATATCTATTGCTATCATAGATTATTCGCAAATATTATGTTAAATAAAAAAAATTAATTTATATCAAGATTTTGGAGTAGTATTTGAGGTATACCATCAATTATCATCACGATAATTGGATAACTCTTGTGTCATTGATAAAGTTTGCATATAATAATTTGATACATTTTTCTACTCAATAAGTTCTCTTTTTTACCAATTATAGTTATAATCAATAATTTGATACCTTTTTATTTTTAAAAAGTTGATAAATTTATGACAAAAGATTTGACAAATCAGTTATCAAAGCTACATACAACAATGAAGGGGGTAGTAAAGGAAGCTCAAAATACAAAGGATTAATGGATATGCCTAGTGCAAAGAACCATTAT